ATTGAGTGACGGATGGGTAACTATAAGTAAAGATGAGTGAACGTTCAGTAACCCGTTTAAGTTGAGTTAGCAAGTGGTAACAAGTTTAAAGTTGGGTCACTGTTGATTAAATTAACTCATCGAAATATGGTAGGATTATTAAAGTCTCCTAATCCTAGCCGATGAAAATATTGCTTTTATCAAGGTAGTGGTCTGAACTTTTGATAACCATTTGAAGACACGTTAAATCGAAAATAGAACGAGTCTGAAAAGTGATAAAAAACTCAAACTGGAAACTCGTAGTTTGGGACATCAAGCAAGCAAGTCAAAATTATAAATTATATTACTTATTATAGTAAATAAGAATTTATTTCAAAATAAACAATATATTTTAATTTAGTTAATTTTAAACTAAGCCAAATGTTTTTATATAAACTATGGGGATCATAATGGGACAAAGATTCCATTGGGTGATTATGTTGGGATGGGACTAGAGTATTGAATAAAAGGAAAATTGACTATGGTTGACTTGGTTTGGTGAAGAGTGCGATGTCCAAAAAGTAAGAACTGGTTTGGAGATTTTAATGTAACCCATTGTTTCGATAAAAATACAAATTCCTTATATCGAACAAAATATTAGAACTTTTCTTAATTATTAAGTGAAATTATTATAAGCAAATTTATGTAGTAATGTACCTTAATCGTGTTGAATTATGTCAAGTTTGGATGACAAGTGGTATGTGTTCTCTTTGAAATATAATTATGTGATAAAGATACGTTTTATAAATTTCGTAAGGTTAATCAATAAATAAGAAGAAAATTAAGCGGAGATTTGAACTCATGTTCTTCCTATAGGAAATAAAAACTTTACCACTAGGTTTCTCAATATAATTTTCTAACACTTAAGATTTTATTTTGTAAGGACCAAAAAAAACCTTTTTGAAATGTCGGGACTCCAAAAAATTTGGATCTAAAGCGAAAGCCTCACTTCAAGTCCGCCCCTAATCTTGACATCCCCATCAGATTGATATTGTTTATTTGATTAGCATAGATTTCAACTTATTCATGGCACTAGTCCACGTGTAAAATAGGTCGAATAAGTTTGTTTGTATAGAAGCTGACATATAAAAAGAGACCCAACATAACTATAAGAACGAAGTATACCACCTCTACAATAACTCCGTATCTTCAATCTGTTTATTTCCTACTTAATTTTCACATTTCAGCGGAATATTTATTTCCTACTCTTATGATGGAATTTTAGGTAACATATTTACTTGAAGAAATTGACAAAATGCAATTGGTATGAAAATGATGATTGAAGAAGTTTATAAATTGAATGTTATTTCCTACTCTTATGATGGAATTTTAGATAACATAGTCAACTTTTCCATCCTATATTTTCCCTCCACATTATTTTATATAATCCATTATATACCATTTTTATTTACAAATAATATAATCTTTTTTGTTTTATATGTGGCTTATTAGCGCAAAATATCCATACTTTTGGCCTTTGTGTGCAAAACATCTTTACATTTCAATTTTTTTACGTTTTTGCCCCTATTTTCACGTTTCATTGCGGAAACCATCATTTTCATATATTTTTTCAATTAAAAACTATAAAATGATGAAAATGACCTCCTATTTAAATAAAACAAAAATAAAAGAAAAGAAAAAATAAAGAACAAATTAGAATTATAGTCCCAAAATTTTAAAAGATTACAAATGAGTCCCTAATGTATAATTAAAAATCCAACATATGCCAAAGACTTAGGCCAAACCACCACCTTTGAACTTTAAAAACTATGGCCAACCACCACCCAAACCACCGGAACTCCATACCATTAGACAGCCCTCACTACACTCTACACATGCCACTCAGCCAACAACCCTAACGTTACCAGATTTGGCCGAAATCGATGGCCAAAATCAGCAACTTGTCAACACAAAAACCGACTACATCGCCTTCTCCAGCGAGACCTGATTACACCCAAAGAATAACGCGGTAGTTCTAATACAGCTTTGAGGTGTCGTATCCACAGGAAGATGGAAAAATATTTACATGATAAAAAATGTTGAATTGTTCTCTCAAATGTGTAATAAAATTTAATGTTGAAAGGTGAAATTAAAATCA